ATTGGGCCAAACCTCCCACACAGAACCCCCATGTGGGCCACAGCAACGCGTGGCAGGGGACGGCTAGTAACATGATAAAAATCAAACACAAAGGGCAGGCCAAATGCAGAAGCTGGGGCTAACAGTGGGAGCTCACCCCGTCCCGTGGATTCAAACCACCATCCCTCAAGTCAGCAAGTTCTGCAGCTTAGCAGTATAACCCGCTGCGTCATCACGGCACCTTATTTATTTAGAATGCTTTCTCTTTATTTCCCAGCCTACTGTGTTATACAAAACACTCAGGCAATAGGAATGGAATAATCAAGGACTTTGTGAATTCACAATGCTAAACGACAAAGCCACAAAAAATAGTCTTCTGGAGGGTTCGAGGACTCAAAAAGCTTCGTTTGCATGTCACCGCTCCAAATGTGTCGACTGGCTKCCTGTGGCAATTCGACTCCTATGGCACAAGGTGGCAGCACAGAATGCACAACAAGAAACTGGACACACAAGGACTTGTGCAAAAAGAACAACATTCAATGTTGACATAAAGATTCTGGAGCCTTAAATCGGGGGGGGGGGGGGGAACAGTCGTAAATCCGGAAGTGTTTGTTCTGAGACTTACGGGTTCAAGTGGGGTATAAATAAAGTTAGTGATGACGATAATGATGATGATAATAACAACAACAACGCCAACGAGTGATCCAATACAACAGTCAACATAGTGATTTTGTTTGCTGTGTACTAATCTGGTTGTCTTTCAAATAAAAAAGCCAGAATCACAAAGTCCCCCATGACCTTCTGGCAAGGAAACTAGTCCAATGTGGGCTAGGCAAAACTACAGTGAGGTGGATCTGTAGTTGGTTAAATGGACAAACCCAGAGGGTGACTCTCCCCAAGGCTTCCTCTTCATCTTGGAAAGAAGTGACGAGTGGAGTGCCACCTGGAGGGTTCCATCCTGGGCCCAGACCTGCCCAGGATCTTCATTCATTACTTGGATGAAGGGCTAGAAGGCAGGATCATCAAGTTTGCAGGCGACACCAAATTGGGAGGGAGAGCCAATACTCCAGAGCACAGGAGCAGGATTCAAAACGATCTCGACAGATTAGAGAGATGATGGGCCAAAACTAACAAAATGAAGTTCAACAGGGACAAATGCAAGATACTCCACTTAGGCAGAAAAAACAAAATGCAAATATACGGAATGGGGGACAATGCCTGGCTCGAGAGCAGTACGTGTGAAAAAGATCTTGGAGTCCTCGTGGACAACAAGTTAAACATGAGCCAACAATGTGATGTGGCGGCAGAAAAAGCCAATGGGATTTTGGCCTGCATCAAAAGCAGCATAGTGTCTAGATCTAAGGAAGTAATGCTACCCATGCTCTATTCCGCTTTGGTTAGACCACACCTGGAA